CTGCAGGAAGGTGCTGCGTTGTCAAAACTAAATACAGTTTGTCCACAACAGAGGCAGAGGAGTGCCCAACAGAGAGAGCTCCTCAAAAAGCAAATGAGTTTGGGAGACTACAGTGTGACTAAAGCGTCACATGGTTGATGCCATGACATTAAGAGACACTACAAGTTACGTCCTGTTTTAGTTTTAGCATTTACATGATTTGTAAATAATTTTTCACGTCTCAGTCGGTGCTTCTCGCTCCCCATTTTTCTTTCTGCTCCTCCACTGTGCCACAGTCGTTAAGTTTCACATCTTTGAACAGGATGTTTATTAATTTCACGTAATGATCGTCAAAGCCCATTACCTTTGGATGTGAATTGGTTTTATATTTCAACATTTCTCCCCAGTATGAATCTCATTTAATCTACAATATCTACATGCTGAGCTTTGTAGAACTCCTCAGTGGTTTATGTTTATATATATTAGCCCTTATATATATATTAGCCCCTTCTTTTTTGTAGCATTTATTAGCCATACTTCAACCTGCTGCTCATAACATTACTAATAAATGTCAAAGTACAGATGTGCCATGTCAAAAACTCAATATTAATTCAAATTTATATGTGTTATTAAACATTTTATAGACGTTAATGAGGACACATATTTTTGATGTTTTAAAGTTAGAAAGCTGTAACGCCATATTGGTTTTGTTATTCTGTCTGGTTGCTGTTATATTGAACTCTTCTGTCTTCTTTGAAACGCATGTAGCATGCATGCTTGTTTCCTTTTGACTTACTAGGTTTTTACATCCGTCATTTCCAGTTCTGGTGAGTTTTTGCAATATCAAAAGGTGACAAGTCCAGTACGTACAGACATGAAACACATAAAAATCCACTGTATAATTTAAGAAGCACATCACAATAGGTACAGTTTAAAATATTCTGTTTTTATTTGGAGATGTAAGGCTTTTCTTCAGACTGCAGCATTGTAAGACTATAGGCTGAAACTGACTTATAGTCTGTATTTGAATTAGCTTTTCAGTTGAAGCACTGTGAGACCATGGCTACTACAAGATGTATGAAACTGTAAATGTTATTTAGCTACACAAGTTAGTCCAAGAACTCACACGTTTTTAATTTATTTTCTCCTCTTAAGTCTTTAAATCTTTTTTTTTTTTCCTCATCCTATTTTTATACGTATATAAAGTATCAGAGTTAATAGAGTTGTTTTCTCTATCCATGCATGTACTATCTAATGATGTGTTGTTTCACCGGTGAAATGTCGGCGACCGTCCTGCTACGATTCTTTTAAGTCCCATATTTCACACATTTGCATAATTGCACTGCGTTTTAAAAATTTGCATAAAAGCTTGCTGGTTTAAAAAGTGAACAGCAGCTACAACCAAGTGTGTTCCTCGGACTTTTACAAGTCTGAAATGTGTTTCAAAAGTTAAGTAAGTTTTGGTTTTATAACAGAGAGGCCTGCATCAGTATTATGGGTTCAGATTTTGGGACAAATGGTATTTGCATGATGCAGAGTTCACTTCAGTTCAGTCAAGACGGTGCATTTTCTTCTGAATGAGTTTGTCTGAATCATCAATTTATCATTTGTACAAATAAAAAATTCTGTTCAACACATATTTTGGAGCGACTGAGCTGAGAGTGGACTGATAACTGCCCTGAAATTAGGTTTGCAGGAAGAGATAATGACATGCAAACTTGAGCTGTCTCCAAGGGTAATTTAAATTTGAATGCTTGTACCCCAGTTACATACAACTGATAGGAAGTAAAATGTTCTTGAGCATCTTATCTTAACATGTTTGAACAAATGACACGCTGCCCACCATGTCTGACCTGAGTGCTCCAGAGACATCTAAGCATGAAAACCCAGTTTGTTTCTATATTTTAAACAGGTGTCTTATATATTAATGAAATAGCAAGGTACAATAGGAGGAATGACAGCAGAAGAATGGATGACAAAAGCAAAGATATCATTTTTGTCCCTGAATTAAACCCACAGTTTGAACAGGGGAATGTATCACAGACCACCTGCATACAGATCACCCCTGTGCTGTTTGATTTCAACACAGCAAAGATAATGTCACAGCTTAGATGTTTCTGGAAGCTCAGCATTCAGCTCTTGATATTGTTCATGATGTTAATATTTGCATTTGTGTTTTGGCCGTCCACCTGTCTAAAACTTATACTATCAACCTGTAATTTCCATATTTAAATTGCTAGCATAAATATATATATTATATCAGAGTTGCCAGTATATCCTATGAATAAGAAGTCTATAGTTTGTGAGGATTTGAAAGTACGATTAAACCTGGTCTCTAGTTTAGTTCCTAGCTAATTATCCCCCCTGAGGAGAGTTGACCTCTCCGTCTGTCCCTGTACAGCTCAACAGGCTACGATGCAGTTTGTTTCAGGAAGTTAAAGGTTGTTATTTTTTGTGTAATGACAGCTTTAGCAATATAATAAAAATATAAATTTTGCTTTGACTCACTGAGTTCTTGAGTGTAAAAGTGTGCAGCCTGTGTGTGTGTGTGTGTGTGTGAGTGTGTGTCAAGACTTGTCAATTTTCATTTCACATTTATTACCGAACTGTAGGCAAATAGCTGACAAAACAACGTCCCTTTAGTAGCTGCTCTGGAGCTTTCTACTGTATCACATAGCCCTCATAAGCACATTGCATTAGCTCGATTGTCATGGGAATGTACAGTATTGAGGAAGCTACTTTGAAAGGAAGGCTTTTCAAATTACCATTTACTTTACGCTTGATGAAGTCGAGCTACAGCAAAGCTACCCCAGGGAGAAATCTAGTTTGGTTAGCTGAAGCCTCTTGGAAAAAGCAGTCTGAACTATGTAAGAAATGAACAAATTGACAAAGTACAAGTGATATGAAATTATGACAATATACCTGTAATACAACAAAAGTCACATTGCAGCAAAAAATACTATTCAATTGGCCCACTTGTTTATAGATTTAAAATAAATAATTAATAATGAATAAATTTCTTTAAAATACACATTTTAAAGAAAACTTCATTATTCATGAAGTTAAGGAACATCAGCTTTGGTTTTGTATATAGTGTCGATCAATCACACACCTACCCTCAGAAACTGGAGTACAGGTGAGGGTCTTGCACCAAGCAGGATTACTTAAACTAGGTAACTTCTAATATAGCTTGCAACAACTTCATTTATTAGATAGATAGATAGATAGATAGATAGATAGATAGATAGATAGTGGTGGATCGCGGTTCAAGAGCTCTGGGCTTTTATTTTGAAGTGCTGTTTCCTGCTGTAGAGTGAATGACTATTGGACAGCTACTTGACAGAGACAGCAAACAAACTTACCCCCATGGCCAAACACAAGTGTGATGCACAATGTCTTAAACTGTATTGACCTTGATCTAATGACTAATGAAGGAGAAATTTGGTCAGTTTGTGTCTATGATCGTTTCCCCCCTTTTGTAGTTATTTGTGTCTATTTGTAGTTCCTTTGCATCTCTTTGTGGCCCTTTTTATGTCTAGCTGGTCAGTATGTCTTAATCTGAGTGACTTTATGTGAAGGTCAGGAAGGGCCCCTGGGCCTGTGCCCTGTAGGCCCTTTTGGTGATTCATCCATGGGTTGAACTACCAGCAAGCTACCAGCAAGAATGTAGTTAAACCACTAGTTTAGATACGTGTAGTACACTACTCCTCAACGCTTTGACTTTCATTTATCTTGACTGTTAAGACGCGGCTCTTAGGCTGCGACGATGATGGGAGACTAGAGGACTGTACAAATAGTTAAAAGCTTATTTATCTACAAAATAACAATGAATAACCAAATTAACATGAAACAGACTGATTATGTCTGTAATCAGTCATGTCTGTGTGTGAGTGTGTGGAAATGTCTGCAGAAACCCAAAAGGACAGCAGCTGTGCCTAAGAAGAGGGAGGAGTCATTGATTATGTTGGAAGGTGGTGAGCTTTTACATCATGAACGACAACAGGACCAGGTGTGGCTCATGAGGTCGATGATGACCCTCTGCCTTGACCTGCCTGCTGTAACACAAAGAACACCCAGGAAACAGGCATACCAATTGGAGCAGAGGGGTCAGCACATGACCTTGAAAGCAGCAACTGAAAATCAATTAGATGAACAGTTCTTTCACTCATTGATCTCTCATGTAGTGCAGCACAACGAGCTGTGTGTCCATTGTATTGCTTGTGACAAAGCTTTTACACAAACCATCTTAAAAATAATGTGGGACAGTGGGTGGGAAATACTGTCCTGTACAGTGGATACATCCTTTACTACCTTTAATAAGAATGCAAACAGATGATGTGCTTAGTTTTATCCACCAGAGGGCGCTCTTGTCTTTTAACATCCAAACATGGTTCTACTTGTGTAACGCATCACTCCTCCCTCCTTAGAGGCCTGGAAACACTCTGATCAATAAAAGTACAGCCAAAACAATGAATCTGCCACTCTCTCTCTCTCACACACAGAGGGTCTTGAAATACAGCATGCATGAACCAACATCAGATTACAAGTTAAACAAACCTTTTCCTCTCAAGTGCAGACTTTCTCCTCTGCATAAATAACTTCCACATGTAGTCATATTTTCATGGGGTGTGACTGTAGTCTGGATGAATAGCACAAATGCCCCACGTGCATAGTAGCAGAGGGAGGGATGGGCACACACCCAGCAGACAAAATTGACAAACACTCCTTTTATTATGGAGACTAACCGCCTTTCTGTGATACAGTGCACTGAAAACTACACTAAGAAATTATTTTTAAATCTCATCTTAGATAATATTTTCTGTCAGGTCAAAAAACCAATATGCAGGATCATTTTAGTGATGTTATAGCAGACGCAGTGTAGTATATCATGAATACAGCTGACTGTCCCTGTGTGCTTAATGTACGTACGTGTGATGGTGCCGTCACAGTTACGCACGGAGCAAAGCAGCGCTGCTATTGGGAAATATTTTCAGGGCTGCTGGCCGCTGACGTGCCCTCCCATCCGCCTCACACCATCCTGCCAGCCAGAGGTTACAGCAGCCGGGATTACGCTCGCAAATATGTGATTTTGTACAAACACTACACACAGTTAGGTGTCTGACGTTTGCGCGCGGATATCTCCACCATCTCCCCGCTGGTGAATCGGAAATCCGCCGGAGCTGCTGCTGTATATCCAGGGTTTCTTCTTGTGGAGGTTGTTGGACGGGACAGCGGAGCATCGACTGAGGTGCGTCCGATAAGACAAGTTACAGTTTGATTTTTGGGGCAGCTGCCGCGTGTTTTCCTGCTTTATGTGTCACATAGGAGGCTTGGATGAAAATGTTTGTTAGATAACATGTTATTGTTGTTGTCAGGCCCGTGTTTGCCCTGAAATAACCCACGCTGCTCCACGTTATGGATGTGTAGTGTGTTATCATGCGATCCTTGCAGCGATCAAATTATTGTTATTATAATCTGGATGATATAACCAGGCCTGCTGTATCGTCCACTGTCCTCCATCAGGTCCCCCGGCGCATTGCTCAACCCCCCCATCCCAGCGATGCTGCCCTGCCTGCGGAGAGTCTTTCGGCCCGCCCTCTCTCTGAGAGCCGGGACTGGGTTGGCCACAGCCGGACTCAGCAAGCAGCAAACACCCGCCGTGGCGCGGTTCGCTTCGGAGCCTCCCATGTCCATGATGGTGCAGCGGTGTAACCTGGGCACACACCCGCTGAAGGAGCCCGTGGAGCCCCTCAACTCTCCCCGGGGAGCCAAGGAGTTTATTTATACTCTCCATCCGTCTGAGAGGACCTGTCTGCTGAGAGAGCTGCACAGGTTCGAGTCCATAGCCATAGCTCAAGGTAGGTGATGGGCGACATGGAAATATATTTACAGTTGGAAAACCAATTAAAATACAGATCAGGGATCCTTTTGAATTTTTAAACCATACAAGTAATAAATAATCTTCAATATATATATATAACATAGCAGGTCACCTCCTATTCTTTATCAGAACATGCTTTATTAGATACTTAATAACTGATCACAATTGTTTTTGCATCGTCCATCATCAACAGTAGGTCATAGTGGACACCATAAGCAATTAAGTCTGTGGTCAGATGCTCATCTATCAGCGTACTCATCACTGACACAAGCAGCTCCAGGCTGTATTATGATGAAGTACACTAGTGTGATTGAGAGTAAAATGTAGGTAACATCCTGGTGGGTAATGGAAGTCGTAAAAAATTGTAGGTTGCAGCTGGAAGACTCTTATTAAAGTCTAGTTTTTCTATAAGATCGTATACAGTTCCACGAGGGACAGCTAACCCCTGTGTGCCATTTTGCAGCTGACCCTGATCTCTGACCTTTGACCTCCCTGAGAAGAAGGTCTATTGGCAAGGATCAATACAGCATCACACCATAACTGTAACTTTTATTCCCACAAGCATCACTCACACACTGTTTCAGTAGGAGATTACAGCAGTGGTTCCCAACTGGTGATTCATGGTCCATAAGTGGCTTGCAAACATGTCAGTACAGTACAGTGAATTTCTGGCACAGAGCTTTTATTTTGAAATGCCCCTTCCTTCTGTAGAGTGAGGAAAGCTACTTAGCCAAGACAGCAAACTAACTCGATGACATGGCCAAATGGAAGTATGGCACTCAATGTATTAAACTGTGTGGACCTTGATCTAATGACTAAGGAGAAATCTGACCCCGTGGCTGGACCATTTGGGTATCCCTCAGCACCTCAGCCTGTAGTTGTGCCTTTCAGATGATGTTTAAATACAGCATCAGATTACATCCCAAAGTGAGGCATTAATTGTTTTTCACAAAACATAAGAATGAAGTTATGATATTATAGGAGGAGCACGGTGGCTGTCCCACAGACACAGCGAAAAAAAAGGAAGTGGGTCGATCAATACCTCGACTGAAGCGAATAAAAAGAGGGAACGCAGGGAGACATGAGTGATGATGAAGATGCTCGGCAGTACACGAGGTTCTCTCTCGAGGAGTATGCTGCTCTGAGCTCCTGTCACCCTCTATATTTCTCTCCAGCTATAAAGCCTTAAAAATAGATCCTCATCTTTTTTTTTGTCTAATGGCTTGGTGTTTCCTCCCCGCCACATTATTGGATACTGGATTTAAACGAACAATGCAGATCTAGAGTTATTGAAAAATAGCTGGGAAACTTGATCAATACTCTTTTCACTTTGTCACAGAAGACATTGATAAAAAATATCAGAGCCACTGCACTGAGGCCTAGAATTGTGGATACAAGATTAAGTACTGTTACTGTGTACCTGCAGGGCTGCAGTGGAGTGAAAGAGTTTTCAGTGGAGCTTTGTTTACTGTAGTGTCTCATGATGGATAAATGATTCACGTGGGACTCCCTGTAGGGAAGCTTTAGATATCTCTGACCTCAGAAGATTTGAAGTCTCTCAATTCCTTTGCACCAGCAATGTGAAGCTAATGCTCTTATTTTAGATGTACTCTTTCTTGGTAGTTCACTAGCTTGACTCAGTGCACAGTACACCTGGCTCCTTTAAAGGGATAGTGCACCCAAGAATGAAAATTCACCCATTATCTACACACCCATATGCCAAGGGAGGCTCAGTTGAAGTTTTAGAGTCCTCACATCCCTTGCGGAGATCCAAGGGGAGAGGAGGTAGCAACACAACTCCACCTAATGCAGGCTGATGGCGCCCCAGATTAAAACGTCCAAAAACACATAATTGAAACCACAAAATATCTACACACTGCTCGTCCGTAGTGATCCAGGTGTCCTGAAGCCCCGACATAAAAAGTTGTTTGGAAATGTGAGGACTCTAAAACTTCACCTGAGCCTCCCTCTGCATATGGGTGAATAGATAATGGCTGAATTTTCATTTTGGGGTGCACTATCTTTTTAATAGAGACAATTTCAAACACAAGTACACAAATCAGCTTCACTATAACTTGCAGCATTCACAGACAAAACACTTGTCTTTAGCTAGACACATTTTCCCCACAAATGCAACATGCTAATGTTATTAGCACAAACCTATGGCATTTTACATTGTATAAATTAGCCTAGCAGCTAGCGGACTTTTCCTCTACTCATATGAAGCCAGGGACAACAGCAGCATTTAACAAAGGTAACGTTACAAAATTCTACTCCATTACAACTCACAAGGTTCACCGACAAAAACAACTGTCTTATACTAAACACGTTTTCCAAACACATGTAACATACTAACATTATTAGCACAAGCCTATGGCATTGTACATTGTAGAATTTCACCTAGCAACAAGTAGAGATTTCCTCTACTCGTATGAAGCCAGGATAAATCACACACAAGACTGAAAATGCTATTTTGTGGAGGTTTTATTGTCGTCACATTTTATTGATTCTTATCTGAAATTCAAGTAAATAAAAGCTCCATTTCCACTGAGGGAAATGGTTTCAGACAGCAGTTCTGCATCACCGTTACGCATAGTTACATTTCTGGGAAGGTGCATATGCCCTTAAATCCTTCATACTGGACCTTTAAGTCATATAGCATCCAGCTGCTGAATTTTGCGCGTACATGCATCAGTTGCTGTGAATAGTGTCCTGTGTGTACTGTTCCTTCTCATAGGCTCTGAATTTAACATTTAGCAACAACATACACAAATCACAGTGCAGACTGTCATTGTTAATATAAGCATGCCTTTGACAGTGTGGCTTGAAAAGTTGCATCTGTTTGGTTCAGTTGTTCTGCTTTTTAACTTTTTACCTCAGAGAAAGTTTTTCAGGAGGAAAAAAGCAAATGTTGCATTATTTTTCTATTTACTGGTGTCATTACTCACTCTATATGATCCTGCACCAGAAACATAAATATAACTGGGGAATGAGGAGGCATGCTGCTGTCAGCTATAGCAGGATGGTATTGATTCTTTACATGATTGATCAGGTCAGAACAGTCAGTCACTTCTCTGCGCTACACTAACACAGACAGGCGAGTGATGCTTCTGCAGACTGGCAGTAACCTTGGTGGTTATAGTAGTAATTTTAACAGTGATTGTAATGCTGAAAGTGGTGATTACAGTGGCAGTAAAGACAATGGCGAGGATTGTTAAGCCTGACAGTCATCTCACAGTGATATTGCTAAACAGACAAACAGTGCTGTTGTATTGACAAGTCCATCATATGTTATTGTGCTCACACCTTTAGTGATAATTACAGCACAATAATATTAGATCCTGTTCGATTCCAACAAAATTGTTTCCCCATTGCACAGAGGATATTAACTTGTTTTGAGGAGGAGGAAAAAAATCAATCGCCTGATTTGAAGTACCTCTCCCTTCATCATTCCCACTCTGTATCCAGACTCTGGGGACAGAGGGAATTGTAGAAACTGCCCAACCCCTCATTACAAGGCATTTCAATAAGATTCTCCATGCTCTACGCTCCTAATAGGACATCATTATTTTCCTGTCGGATGTGGCTGATGATCCACATGCTGCGAGCCTTCTCCCCGTGCAATATCAGCATTGAGTAAATAGCAGCAAATCCCTCATGACACTCATGATGGAGGGTTTTATATCATACACTAAGGCTGCAAATGCAAAGGATTGTGCTCAGATTGGGCCACTGGAACAAGCTGCACATAGTCAGTAGAAAACCATAATTTCAGACCTCTAAGACCACTGAAATCCATTAGGCATAGAGTGACATGGATATAAATGGATTGACATTGCTAGGTTTATTTAGGAAAATCCACCACACATTCTTCATGCAAAGAGATAATGTGAGCTAGTGCACTGAGGTGACTGTATGCAGAGGACAGCTGCTTCCCTCTGCTCTCTCCTATGGGGCCTGCCTGGCTGGAGCTCACTGACATCCTCACCTTCACGCTATAAACCCCCTCAGGGATTGTCTTACCTACTGTATGTGCAGGGCTGCAGAGGAGCTGAATCAGTGGTTGCTGGACTGGTCGACACAGTGTTTCACCGACTTGGCAGCTCAGAGATTGATTTTTTTAGAAGGGTGCTTATCAGCATCCATCATCATTCCACCCAGAGGCTGCATGACACCTGAAGCAGGGCCCTTATTTTCCTGGGGTTTACACGGAGGTTGGGCGCATGGTGAGAAAGCTGGATGTCTGCCTGTGGTTGGATATGCTGACATTTCTTTGTACTGGGCAGTCCTCGGGGTTAATGGAGTCTACTGCAGTGTGTCCATGCTGGCTGTAGCTATGTTTACTGAAAGAATTCATCTTTATTCTGTATTGTGGTCTTAGATTTATACATGTGCTGTGATAAGATGCCTGCCTGGACAATCAGTCAGTTTACTTGCTACTCTATTTTTTTGCCAGTGTATTGTTGGGCAGCTGTGCCTCTGGAGGAAGTTCAGTTAAATCCCCAGCTCTTTGAATCTGCGTGCCAAAGTACCCTTGGGCAAGATACTGAACCCAGAATTGTCCTAGGTGGCTGTGCCATCGGTTTGTGAGTGCATGTGAATGTTTAACTCATGAGCAGGTGGCACCTCCTATGGCAGCCTCAGCCAGCAGTGTATAAATGTGTGCGTGAGTGGGTGAATGTGACATGTGGTGTAAAAGCACTTTGAGTAGTTGAAAGACGAAAGAAATGCAAGTCCATTTACCATTTGTTTTGGTAAACATTTGGTTATTGGTCTGAGGTCTGATGTCTGATTTGGTGACCTCAGAATTGCATCTCTGTTTTTTGCAGATGATGTGGTTCTGTTGGCTTCATCACACTGTGACTGCCGGCATTTACTGGGGCGGTTTGCAGCCGAGTGTGAAGTGGTTGGGATGAGAGTCAGCACCTCTAAGTCTAAGACCATGGTTCTCTGCCAGAAATCGGTCGATTGCTCCGA